ATACATGGATGAGAACTTGTAATTATCAAAAAAAGGAAACATGACACATGTCCAACGCAGCCCACTCTGAAGCTAATATACTTGACCCCACCACTACGATTGGAGACGAACTGTTCCGGTGACTAAGCGTTTGAATTTGCTTCCATGATCATCACATGTGATATCCATACACATGGACTTATTTACACATGAAAAAAAATAACTTAAATAATGCATAAATGTTGAGCATGGGCTTCAACAGTAATCACTCTAGAAGCCCATTTCCGAAGAGGCCCAGCAGACCGAAGCCCGACCAGTTCGGCCCAGAAGTTGGAAGCCCAGCGAGCTCGTTTAGTGCTCAGCGGTTCAGGCCCGAGGGAGGCCCATCATCTTCTGAGGATAATGACATCGGCGCCGGTTCCGAGGAAAACCTAATACCTTATTCATTCTATTTTTAGTATAAATAAGGTTGCCCACCCCATAGGTGAGGCATGTTTTTTCTATTATTAGACAAGCATAAAAGAATTTGAGAGCTAAAAACAATCATTCTCTGACATAAAACAGATAGAACCTTCTGATTGAGCCCGATCTATCAGGAAAGATAAGAAGTTATTCATTGATAATCATACAGAGTTTCTACTCGTCATTTCGTAAGGCCGACCTCAGATACTCATTCACCGACCTCGATTTCCACGACCTAGAATACAGCGATCTCGTCTCCCCGAGCTCGACACGTAGTTCTTCTTCTGCCATTCATAACAGTATCTGTTCTAACCCATTCCGAGTCAGCATCTTTAAACGGGAATTTCCGATCCTTTACCGAATACAAATACATTGTCGAATACGTGAATCAACAATAAAGTTCAAAAAACAATGTGTTTAGTTTTGGAGCATATTGCCCACAACTCGAATTGATTCAAAAGTTTTTCCTACTTCATCAGGTACTCGTTACCTTTGGAGATTTAATGGTATGTTTTCAATTATTTAATTTTTATTGTGTTTGCCTAAGTTATCCTCACACTACTCTTTTACTATATATCTTTGGGTTCATTTTCTTAATTCTGATTTTAAGACTATTCAGTTTTTGGTGTTGGAGTTAACACTTACGCATCTTTGCGAACTAATTGGTTTCCGACATATTGACTCCGCTTCACTTTGAAAATTTTAAACAAAAACAACATGGGTGACTAAATTCAAACGTTCCCGCATGATTCGCGCATGCCATGATGACTCTCTCTGCACCTCTTGATAACTTTTTTCACGCATTTGAAGTATGCCTCAGATCCGATGTCCATCAGTTAAAATGATCTATATGCTCTATATTTTTATTGTCTTTAGCGATTGTTGCTATAATTTAAGATGATGTTTTATTCCTTCTCTTTGCATTTCCAAAATTTAATTTAAAGAATTAAGGGTTAACATAGCACACACAAAAAAAAGCAACATATAGGGTATTCTGAATCACGTGACTGAAAGATTGATGGAGAAGTTCAACACTCATCTTACACATAAAAATGAAGTGGGAGACAAATAGAGAGCCATTTTATTTCCAAGGCATTAAAACACTTAAGACTTAACATTATTAAAGAACTCATTTGAGATTTCATCTTTTATTTTCATTCATTCTTAATTAATACAAACACTAGATTTTTGACCCGCGTCAAACACATGATTAGAATATTCAAAAATCAAAATCCATAAATCTTATGAGAGATATTAGAAACAACGAATATGAAATGATATATCTTCCATATAGATAAATATATTTATCTTATAAAATTTAATTTGTATATAGTTAGATTGAATGTCAGCGTTTTTTATGTAAATCGAGTACATTTGAGATTATGAGTTATTTGAACTCACCAAACCCAAAAAATATCACGTTAATATGTAAAAATCGTTTTATATAATAATCAAAGAAATAAAAAGTTAAAATGATGATTTTAGAAATTCAAGCATTAAAGTTTGATTTGTAAATTTGTAAACTACACAACTTTAATTAAAGTAGTATGGATACAATTAAATAATATAAAAGAAAATAATTGTATGATCAATCATATGGTATCTAAATGAACATAAATACAATTTTTTATAAATTACTTGACATCGGTAAATGATTTATCGTTAAAATATTATGTTATATAATATTAAAATGTTACATTTTAGATGGATTTAAATTTGTAACACATGTATTTGTGAGTTCATGTTAAAGTTTAAATTTGTACATATTTTCAACATGTCATATAGAATTAATTGGAATATTTTGATTGATTAATTTAAATTATGTGTCTCTTAAATTTCTCTTTGTTCGACACCTTGGATTTTTTTGTGAATGTCTCTTCAATTAATATACAGAGGATATGTCGATTCTTACGAATATAAGTTGAAAGGCTTGTACGACCAGAATTTATAAAAACAACATGCAAACTAGAATTTTGGGTTGGGCTAATTATTTTTATACTTAAAAGCAAGCATTAGCAAGAAAATATTCGAACTCCTCATCTCAAAGTCACAAGACTATGAACGGTTTTAAGAGATTTAACAATAAAATAATACATATTAGTAACAGGGTTGCAAGCCCAAGCCCAAACGCAAGCCCAAGCTTACTTCGTTTGGATTCAATACGAAGAATATCTAAACTCAAATGTTCTAAAACCTCATAGCAAAATTTGTTGGCAGATGTTGCATCCATACCA